GGAAAAACTACCCACTATCTCGCTATATGGCTAATGATGTATTAAGGCTGTAAAATCATGGTGGAGCATAATATTCCGCAATGGTATAAACAGAAAGGTTGTATACACCGAGTTTCTGGAACGTAAACCAATGTCGCCGAGAACTTTCACTCAGGTGCGTGAACTTCAGTTTAGAATTTAAATTTAAAAGTTTGGAATTTAAAATTAGCGCGTAAAATAGAAATCAGCGCCTATGCTAATGCAGCTGTATTTATTAGCCGTCAATTTTGTTTGAAAAAATAATATTTTAGAGTTGAAGTATGTGTAGTAAGATGATTAGTTTTCACGCGTTATTCCAAAAGCCCAAGCGAATACAAACACATAACCTATCTGCATTACATTATGAAACAGTTAGATTTATTCAATTTAAAAAGCTTCAATGGACTCAATGGACAGCGTTTAAAAAAGGCTTGGGACCTTGTTTAGGCAACGTGTAAGGAATGCGAGTGATATGTAGTGAAATTTTGAGTTTATTCTAGTACATCCTTATAAATTGTGAGAACAAAGATGCCGGCAGCGAATAGCAGGTAGAAAACTGCATTTTTTAGAAAAAGAAATTTGTTGAGAATTTATCTTGTAAGATCAAGTTCAGTATGAAGTGCATATTATTAGAGCACAGAAATTAATGAGAATTTGAAAGTTAGCTGCTGCAGATGGCTTGGGCTGGTTCATACAGACTCGGATGCGGAATGAGCAATTGCAGTTTAGGCAGAACTGTCGTTTGCCGCTATCGCCCTCGGTATGTGACCTTATTCCGTGTCTAATATTTCACAAGATTCAAAAAATCGCAAAAAATTCAAGTAACCAACTGGCAAATGCAGCCAAAAACCTAGTATTAACCTGTTTAGGTCTCTTTCTTGCAGCTTCTTCTAATTTAACTTAAAATTGAATCTCAATTGCAGTGGAAACGTCTACCAGGAACAAATTTACATCCCTGGTCCAGTGTGCGGTAGCTGCTTTGCTGGAAACTGCGTAGATGGACTTTGTCCTACACCCACAGTGTAGCTTCTAAAATTGGACTTGTCGCTTTTACCCTAATATAATTGCCACTTCTGTTCTTGAATAAAGTAACAGTTGTGTTTATTTTTTTCTTTCGAACAGCTAAATAAATGTCTTTTTTGTTGAAAAGGAGGTTTCACGGCAATAGCACCTAGCAATTACCTCACCTTTCATTTTCACAATTGTGTAGAGGGCTTTAACTCGGTGCGAACTTCGACAAACAATAACATTCCTGTGGTGG